GATCCACGTGGAATCCGTCCGTAGCTGCACGGAGGAGAACGAAGTACGGAAGGAAGGGCGGTGTGTGTTGTTCCTGGCAACAGGTGATTTGGCAGAGAACTCCCTAAAAAGCGAGAACTGAAAGTCTTCATTCTACCAGTTCTATGAAAGGCAAAAGTTTTCCCTGTGCCCTGTATTGTGTTTTTATGTCAACCCTCAGCACTCAGAACTGTTTAACCTTTGGTTGGCCCGTGGGATAAGTTTCTTCCGGGATGAAAAAGCCATCCTCCATGTATAGGCTAAGCGTTGACAAGTCCTGAAAGTGAGACGAGCCCGCGACAAGGCGGCGAGTTTGCCGGATGACCACGAACCATGAAGCAAATCCTGTGGATTTGCCTCAAGACCATGTTGGGGAGTATCAACAACCAACCGCCGGCGGGTGTGAACGGGTGTAGCTTCGTTCTTTGAACACCGGCAGGTCGTGCCGAGCCGCAGCTGCACGGTCTATGAGAGGCTTTTGGAAGGTGAAGCTCAAACGAGTGGCATGGACCAACCCGTCTCCCAGGCGCGCGTCTCAGACGGCGAAACAGCCGTCCCGAGCACGGCGAAAAATGGATGTGGGGAGTGGTGTGGTTGCGAAGCCTTTTGACTTGGTTGCGGGACAGGATCCGTTTTTGAGGACTCAAGAGGCCCAAGTCGTTTTCTGTCACGAAGTGCTTTATCTGTCGGGAGCATGGTTTTTATTCTTGTGGAGCCCTCGGGCCTAGGGATTTCGTTGTTGCACCTGCCGAGATTTGACAAGGATCCCGTGTAACGCACGCACTGATTGTACAATGGAATGCTGGGCGTTTTCTCTCACGCGAAAGGGTGTGTGGAATTGCGGGAGCAGGGTGTTCCCCGCGTTTAAACCTGCCAAGACAATTCACGAAGCCTCGAGCCAACGTTTGGCTAGGGAGCCGTGCAAGCAGTACATTAGTGAACTGGGAGCTTGCTTCAAACTCAGCGAGAAAGTCTGGCCCGTGGATGAAAGTCTGCTGCGCCACGCTAAAGAAGTGGGCAGATCATTGAGCAAGGAGATTTCGCAGAGGTCCCTTGCAGGAGAGGTTCCAGCACCAGGAAGGGAACCACATGACATTTGTGGAGTCAAACGCCTGTCATGGTGCTGGCTGCAGCCGAATCCACTAGCGAGACCCTCCAGCCTAGAGATGTTCACCGAATGTCAACGATCTTTGGAGGACAAAGCCTTAGAAGAATTGCCACCGTTGACAGGCTGCTTTGTTTGACCTTTTCCAAGCTTCGTTTCACGGATGGATTGTGGAGCCTTAGACGGATGGATTGTGGAGCCTTAGATGTTCTCTTCGTGCAGACTGGCCCGTATTGGACGGTTGATGTCGACCTATGTTTGTGCCTTGTCCATCATCATCGAACCTGTAGACGTCGAGCCAAGGCTGTGTGTGTGTCATTTCTTTGTATCACGCGAGTGTTCGACCATCTTTTTGCCAAGTCGACATGTGTCATGTATTTTGTTTCATGTCGATTTCGGGACCTGGTTCGACCATGCCTCCTTTTCTCACCGTTTTGTGTCGGACAATGCCGCCACTGGAGCCGCCATGTGCTTTCGACACGTCCGTGACCCCTTATACTTCTTGAAGAGGACAAGTAATGCCGACTGAACTCAACTCTGGTCATTCTTTTTGCTCCTTTGGTTTCACAACAAATTCAGTCCCACAAAAGACAGGATCGATTCATCCCGGAAGCACCTGCCCTGCTCGGACGCCACCTGCCCTTGTGGCCATCCGACCAGCGCCGCCGATTCTCGCGCGCGCGAGGCCATCCGACAAGCCTTGGACGCGCACGAGGTGGATGGGTTTGGAGGGGAGAGGAGGACAGGGAGTTGGTGACAGAACCAGATGGGTGTCTCCCAGGCGTGTGCAGGCCGATTTTGGCATGATGTGGCGCTCATGTGGAAAATGTTCAGGCTGTGCTGGATAGAAAGAAACGAGGACCGGTTTGAGATGTTTTGAGGGTCGACACACCAACAAACGGGGCTGGCTTCGATCTGTTTCACTTCACCCGAAAAGATGAGTTGTGTTAGACCATGTTCGGCCCAGAATCTGTCCATTATCCATTGATTCATGTGTTGAAGTTGAAGTATACCACGGTTGGAGCCATACCAGGAATGTCCGGTCCATCGTTCATGGATTGGTCCACCTGCTTTCCGAATCGCGAGAACACAGGGAACCACCGGCTTCGGTCCAAATCATATTGGATTGGATAGTGGTGGATCCATCACCCCAAAACTGGGATCCTGTTGTGGTCTACTGAAACACCATAGTCACTATGAGCTGATTCAGCGCATCCAACAGATCCAAAAAGTAAATCAGATCCACATCCCAAAAGTGTCCTTAATGAGGTCCAGCCATTTCCACATGTAAAACAATGCATTCTGAATCTCTGAAGACGAATCAAACACTTGTGATCATTCCATAAAGATCGCACGCAACCACATGAATAGTGCGAGCGTTTCTTCAAGGAATGGAGCTTCCTTGAAGAAGCGTGAGCTATCCTGCCTCCAGTTACAGTAGCTTTAGTAGCTCTTCTGAGTAGCCAGGAGCGAACAAGTTTCTCCCTTAATTAAGTAGGCGCCTGCATAATTAAGTGAGGAACAAGAAGCTACTAGGAACAAGTGCCACGCTAGTAGTAACAGGTGCCTTACTAGTAGTAACAAGAAGCTACTAGGGGCTCCTGGCCGTACTACTAGGAACAAGAAGCTACGAACGGGGTCTTGTTGGCATCGCTAGTAGGAGCAAGGACGCTACGAACGGGGCTCCTGGCCGTACTACTAGGAACAAGAAGCTCTCATGATTGTTCCATCCCCCGAGGCGGCCGCCGAGCAGCGCAGAGAGCTGGCGGATCGCATCAGCGGCGCGTGAGGGGAGCGTTCACGTCCCGTTCACGTCCTGCGCCATGCTGCGCAGCGCGATTTACCGGCGCTTTCGCTCAGAGGGTTTGCTTTTTGTCCCTGTTTTTTAATGAAAGAATGATGAACCATGGTGTAGAGCGGGTGAGGAGGGAATGAGCTGAGCCAATGTGTAGAAAGGTATTTCTGTGATTGTCTTTGTGCTTCATGTACCGGTTTGTTGTAGTAGATCATTCTTGAGTCACGGAGAGGCACTAGTAGGAGTTCTTTGCAAAGTGAGACAAGCTGCTGCAGAGTAAACTGAAGTGTTCATACATCACACAACAATGGGAGTCGGACTGCGTTATACAGATGGATGTGTTGGAAACCGATAACAAATCCAGAGAAAGTTCTTCGGTTTATTTGTCAAACAAAGAAGCTGAGAGCCCGGACGAGCCATGTAAACAAGCAAGCTTTTGGCTGCCTTTTCTTCGGCCAACGAGCCATGAAACATGGGCAGAACTGTCGGTGTCAGGAAGAAACTTTAAAGCTTCCAGAACTGTCGCGCGCAACGCGCCAAAAGGTGTCCCCAAATCAGTGCTGACGTGGACAGGTAAATTACAACAGATGCACCACGTTTCCACAACTTTGTGTGACCTGTGACATACCCAACTTCATCTCAAGTCCTAATGCGCAGGGCTTGGGGCGCTTCATTTGCAGAGGCCGCTTTTCAGGCCGTCATCCGTTCGCGCGACTGGGAGATGCTTCCGATCCTGGCCGAAAAGACCGATCCAATCTCTTCAGACACTGGGCAGACGGAGAATGCCCGTGAGATGGTTTTTTCCACGTACAGAAGCTCAACTGGGTCGCAGATTTTAAGATCTGGTCTGCTCAAAAGAGATGAGGTGCACCCCAAATGGCCGATATTTGGAGTTGTGCCGCAAGTTACTGACAGATAAATTTGTTGACTGTGGAGGTTGTTGTTGATATTCTGTGCTCAATCTTTCTCTGATCCCCTATTGGTAAATTTTGGGACTCACAGCCAAAGGGAGCAGTCAAGAAGTCCTGCTACCCTCCTTATGTAGTGTCCACCTGGCTTTGTAATGTCAAGGAGGATTATTTAGTGGTTGTGTGGTTGAAGCTCTTGAAAAGGTTTCTTGCATGCAGGTGTGTGCCCTTTCTTGGTACCAGTACGAAGTGTTCGATTCATATCAATCTCACTATCGACACAATATATACTATTTTAGATATAGAGATGTAGAGTGATCTCTTTTGTCCTTGTACTATGCATGTTTAACAAGTCCCCCTGGAAGCCAGGTGCCCCTAGCCTGAAGCAGAACAACTCCGCCGCCTGTTGGTTGCGAAAAGGGCTCAAGATCCTAAGGGTTTGCTGCTTCGAAGGACCAAGAGACCAAGACTGAGCTGACCTAGTTGAAAGAAGATGCTGGAAACCAGCAGAACCTTCTTGTCGCATTGGGATCCCTTTTGGATCCTGCGAGTGTCCGTGAAAGAATAAAAAGTCGCAGAGGTTGCGGTTGCAGTCGCAAAACGAACGTGAAGCAAATGGCCCAAGTCTGAGGTCACATTTGTCCTGGTAGCGTTTGGGTTCAGCTTACGCCCAAGAAAGCTCTCAGCTCGACTTCGCGAGAAATGAAATGATATCCTTTTTTCTATCGGTGTCCGATGTGGTTGGTGGGGGATCGCTTTGACCGCCCTTGTGACCTGCACAGAGTGACAGACTTTGAGGGGGTTGCATCACATAGGGTTTGGAATGAAATGAGTTGAAGGTTCAACACTTTGCAATGAAGAAACATCAGGGTTTCTCCCTTAAAATGCGCTAGCACCAGTTCACAAGAATATGTCCATTGTTTGCAGGAACTTCAATTTTCAGGGTGTCGAGGGCTTCTCGGAAGCAAGAAAAGTGCTTGCCAGGCCCTTAGGATTCCAAAACTAGCATTAGTGATTGTCCTTCTGCCAAGTACGCAGCTTCGAATCACAAGGACCGAGATGCATCCCAGATCCGCATGTTCGCCTCGCTCCGTTGCTGTCTCCGCTCCGCTCCAAGTGCTGCTCCGCTTGCTCCGCGCTCCGCCGCGGCGGTGCCGCGATCTCGTCCCGCGCCATGTACGAGACGAAGTCTCCCGTACTCAAGGACCGGGGTGGTCAAGCGGGGGGGATCTTCGCAATCGGAGTCTACCCACCGGTGGTGTCATCATGATATTTGGAGGGGCTGGGGTGGTTTGGCGAAAGTCAAGGTTGATGTTTTGAGGGATCATCTTATTTATTTATATATAATATATACATGCATCTACACCAGCTTCATGATGTTATTGCTTCATTCATGCCTCGTCCCAGCTGGTCCGGACAACCCTCACGTTTGAACCTAAAACCGGTTCCGAGCAACTCCCAATCTCACCAGCTCAAGTGAAGTCCAATTTCTGGACTTGAGGAGTGAGGAACACGACGACGCCTCACAACTCACAACCGACATGGCACACTTAGCTTTGTGCACAAGCTATCCTATATAGGGATGCTGAAGTTATCAGCCGTGACGTGAAATGGGCAAGGTACCACCTGTCACCTACTTTCATCGACTGAGTAAACATAATTCAACTGCACTGGGCCCGTATTTTCGCAGAGTTGCTCTGCACCAGGCACAGTCCGGCACAATCATGGACCACTTGCGTAGATACACCGGAAAGCACCGGGGAAACTTTTGAAATCGATCTCCAGTTTTTTGGGCATGCAAGAAACCCCAGATTTCTTAGACATAATATCAATATGTTTTTAATGGTTTATCCTTTCTGTGGCATGTCATTGTCGTGTTCTTTCTTTTGACAATACGCCGTTCGTTGCCAGGAGATTTTGGAGGAGGATGTGTTCCCCGCTGCCGTGCCCCCCGGCCCGCCGGCGAGATTCCCAGCTGATGTGGATGTCGCACTGGATGCTTCACTGGCATCGTTGGCAACGCTGCCAGAGGCAACACCGGCACCACAGCAGCCAGAGACACAGGAGAATCAGGGACGAACCAGGGACTTCAATCTGCAAGATGATGTTTTCTGGAGAATCTGGAGGAAAGCCATCTCTTTTGGAAGGGACACTTGGACTTGCCACAGACTTTCCCGATCGAGCACCTCTTCAGCAGCAAGAGTGACAATGGTGTGTGCATCCTGCGAGGAGAAGCCCAACTTGACCACTGCTTTCCAAGAGGCAGTGGAGCGGCTGGTCACTGTGCACATCACGGAGAGATGGGTCGATATGTCCAACGGTGGCGGGTGGAGAGGGATGGAGAGAGAGAGAGAGAGACCGGAGGAGCTTGTGTCGATGAACACGAGATGCGGGGGGGGGGGGGGGGGGGGGGTTGGGGGGAAAAAAAGGGGGGGGGGGGGGGGGGGGTGTTCTGGTGTTCGTAGAACAAACGGTGAGCGACAAGCGAAGGAAGTGAAGGGAATGGGTGAGATGAGGGAACGAAAAAGGTCAAAGCCCTGCTCCAAGCGGAGATGAGAGTAACAAGTCCGCTTTTGTATTTGACGAGCACCAACTAAACCTAGATCAGGGAGACTTGACCACTCCGATCTCAGGTCCAACAAGAATACTGGCTGGTGCTTGGGCATTTTGTGTGCATCCCTCTGTTGCGAGCCGTTGCTTTGAATGAAGAATCTTTGGAATGCGAAAGCCTCGCTTCGGAGACGAAGACTCGTCTCCCCCTGTTCTGCCCACCCTCCTCCCCCTGCAGTCGGACGGCCGTTTCAACCTCCAGGAGCTGGTGGAAGCACAGCGTCGTCACTACGAGGAGCGACCGTGGGGACCACTCCGGGAGCAACGCGAAACTGAACGACGTCGGTTCCTTTTGGGTTTTTCCATGTCCGCACACGCATGGGGTGGTTCTTTCACCCGGTGTTTTTCCCCCGCCCCCCACCGAGTGGGTGTTTCGCTGTCCTCACCAAGCTCGGGGATCTTGGGTTTTTGTTCATTGCATCGGATGGATGTTGTTCGAAGAGAAGAAGACATGAGAAGCAAAGTTGGATGGACGCACTTTCTTGTGGATTTCATGCTCCTGGAGTCACACGTTTGAATGGTTTTAGTCCCTGTGAGTGGATGTTCTGGGATTCTGGGCACCCGTATCCTCCAATAGGCACCCCTTGGTGGCACCTGGCGTATTTGTTTTTCACTGACTGCTGAAGGTTATATTGAGAGAATCGGGTGGACTGCCAATGGACCTGGACTAGCAACTCCAATCGAGGCTCGTTGAAAAGGTTGGATTTCCCGTAGAAGTGGTTCTTCCACCGAAGGAGAATCAAGATATCCAACACCAGTCTGAAAAGGTCGACGCTTAGCTTCCGCTTTTCGCGGGGGGAGCAAGACTTCAAGGCTTCAACTCATGAAAGACTTCTGTGCTGTAGTAAGGCACTTGTTCCTAAGTAGCTTCTTGTAGCTACTAGTAAGGCACCTGTTACTACTAGCGTGGCACTTGTTACTAGTAGCCTTTTTTTGCCGTTCCATGGACCCATGGCAGTTCTCCCGCCGAAGAAGTCGGTGGAAACACAGGACATGCCGGGGGAGAGCTCGCGCGGCCTGGCACCCATGCGCAGCCAGCGAAGCGCGCTGCCCACCATGCGCAGCTCCGCGTCGCGGCTGAGCAGCGCCACCAGCCGCGGAGCGGCAGAGACCGGTGAACGGTGGAGGGATGTTTTTTTCCGGAAAATCGGATTTAGGAAAGCACAGTTGGGGGTTGTGTGGATTCTATGATTTTTCCAAAGACTTGAAGGATTTCAACGTTGCTCTCCTGAGCTCCCTGCAGGGTCCGGTGACCAAACTTGGACACCACTTGGTTGCCATCCACATCGATTAGCCACCACTATATTCAGACAGCATCAAACCCCCAGAGCCAGCCTCCCACAAAACTCGTTCAACCCCAAGAGCCCAGCCGGGACCCACAAAACGCCGGGACCGCCGTTCCACGCGAGGCAAGACCTCCTCCTTGCGGCACCGTTCCATCCGCGAGATTCCGGCGGTGGAGGTCGCTCGCGGTCGACATCGGTTGATGGGTCGGGAGTGAGAGGGGCGAGAGGAGGGAGAGGAGCGTTGGTTCAGATAAGCGTTGGTTCATGATGCATTGAGTTGAATATATCAACTGGATAGTCAATGGAATTCAGATGATTGAGAGGAATATCAAATACGACATTTGCAAGGACAGATGACTATCCATTGAGTTGAATTGGGATATATGCACATCCACTCCTGGATGTTGTGGGTTTGCGTGGAGGGAAATATCCTTTTTCGGTGGCAACAGGCTGCTGACTGTGAGCCCTCATTTGAGGGAGAAAAGCAACATCGATGGAAAGAGGGAGATGGAACATGATGGAACATGCTCCAGGTGATTCAGAAGAGCTTGGCCGTTTTTGGTGAGCGCCACCAGGGTCAAAGATCAGGAAAGAATCCTCTACCACCTGGACTGTCTGTAGACTATGCTTCTTTGTGCTTCTTTTTCTCCGATCCCACGAGGTCTTCTTTCGGCTTTGACCGAAACTCTTCCTGGGCGTTAGACATTCCAAACGCAAAGCAGTTGGAACAAGTGCCACGCTACTAGGAACAAGTGCCTTACTAGTAGTTACAAGAAGCTACTAGGAACAAGTGCCACGC